ACCGATAATGTGTTCTTCCGCCGAGGACCAGGCGTTACCAAGCTCAAGGAAGTGCTCCTGGCCTACTCTCGCCGCAACCCGGAGGTCGGCTACTGCCAGGGGATGAACCTCATCGCCGCATCTCTCCTGCTTATCACCCCAACCGCTGAAGACGCCTTCTGGCTCCTCACCTCCATGATCGAGGTGATCCTTCCCGAACACTACTACGACCATGGCTTGCTCGCCTCCCGGGCCGATCAAGTAGTACTACGCCAGTACATTGCCGAGATCCTGCCCAAGCTATCTGCCCACCTCGAGAGTCTGGGCGTCGAACTCGAGGCACTAACATTCCAATGGTTCCTCTCCGTCTTCACCGACTGCCTCTCAGCCGAAGCCCTCTACCGCGTCTGGGACGTAGTCCTCTGTCTGAATGTAACCAGCGCCGTCAACAACCCTCCCGCCACCGGCACAGGCAATGCCCCTTCTTCCACCCCCACGACCGACCCCACCGACTCAGACCCTAGCGCCAGCGGCAACGGGGGCGGCAGTACCTTCCTATTCCAAGTAGCTCTCGCCCTCCTCAAACTCAACGAGCAACAACTCCTCACCACCTGCTCCACCCCAGCCGAACTCTACACCTACATCAACCACCAAATGACCAACCACGCCATCAGCATTGACGGCCTCATCCAAGCCAGCGAAGCCCTTCGGAACGTCGTCCGGCGCGAAGACGTGGTCGCCCGTCGCGCGGAAGCTCTCCGCGAGATGCAGGAACTCACGCGAGGCCGCCCAACCTCGTCAGGGGATAGTTAGAAGATGGAAGGAAAGGGAAAGTCCCCAACTGAAAATCAGAATCATGTCCTGAAAGAGAAGAACAATACCAACAAGAAGAAGAAATAAGCATGATATCAATCAAATATCAAATCTTTCCCCCCAAGAATGTTGTCCTTATCTGCAACTCCATCATTGCATGATACCACATTGTATTATTTGTGATATGTATTATCTTTATCGATATATTTTTGCTATGCCCTTATAGACCAGCACCACCACTTTCATTTTTTTTTTTTTTTTTCCGGTCATGATACAAATGAGTATACTGAACTTCATTAGTGTACCGAATATAGTTCAATGTTACTAGCGCAGCGTTGGATACTAGTTTATGTTGTGGGTGTTCTCTTGCATGTGTGTGTGTGTGTGTGTGTGTCTTGGTAGGAATATTTATTTCTTTTATGACCAATTTTATCAATGACAATATGCGAGTATTTCACCACTATTGATTCCTACCTACCTCAAAACATAGCGCTATTGAATACGTTTCACCCTGATCATTGTACAAAACTCGCAATTGAAGCTAATGTAAATAGTTACCAGCCAAAGTAGTTCTTTCGTTAGATCATTTCAGAAATATCAAAACAGTATAGCTGGTAGATCGGCAAAAATATAGCTTGTTCTTATTTTCAAACATAAGATAAAGAAAAGATAGATAAATAAATAATAACCCCCCTAAGCGCATGGGATCCCCAGCGGATCAATGAAATCAACTCGTTGGCATCATCTCAGTGTCTTCTTTTTGGACAAGCAATCATTATCAGTCGGGGAGGGGTATCATTGCCATGGTAGGTAAATATCGACAGGAAAGTAGAAGGGGCTTGTGCAAGGGTCGGTCAATAAGCAACCCGAAATTTCATGTGCATATAGTATAGAGCCCCGCCTCTTTACCTGGCCATTGGAAGGAGGTCGGGTATCCAAAACCGACTGTTGTCGAGGACCGTGGTTAGGTCAATTTCAGGCATGGTAGGCCGAAGACCAAGGTCCATCACATCACGGGCGACCGCCTTGATCTGATGCATAATCGTTTGCGAAATCGCCCAGGTCCGTCCCAGGGTCTTGAAAACGCCAATGGTAAGCGTCAGCCGGTCACGGCTGGGGTCGGGCATCTGCCCGGCTTTGACAGAGCACGCGGCCAACTGCACCATGGAGCTGAGGACCAGCGCGCAGATGAAGAAGGGCGTGTGCTTCACAACTGGCATGCGAATAGACGCCAGCGAGGAGATTTCGCTGGCTGCCTTGACCGCCTTCATGGCATGCGCATGATGCGAGAAGGCGGGGATGCTCAGCGGCCCGTGATGGCCGCAAATAACCTCCGCTGCCACCGCGGGGGACGACAGCAGATCAGATCGCGGGAAATGGAGGTAAATCGCAGATCCGTTGACGATCATTGTCGCTTGGAACATCATCTCATCGACGGACCCGTCCGAGCGCAGCAGTTCGGCCTTATTCTCGGGCAGGTGGTGGAAGAAACTGGTAATCCGTGCGTCAATGGCCTCGACATGGTCCTGCTGGCCCTCAATCATGTCTTGGATGGCCACTACGCGTCCCAGGATGCGAACGGCCTCGATTCGGTAAGTGAAGGAAGAGAAGTCTCGCTCCTCATCTGCAAAGACACGCTCGTCGAATTGCGCAATAGTGGGTGCAGGCGGAGGTGGGAGGGCATCTTGGTAGATCCGCTCTTCGCAGGGCAATGGTACCTCGAGCGGCCCAGAATTGCACCGGAAAGCTGGCTGAACACCCAGTGCAGTGAGCATGCCTTCAATGATGAAGAGCTCCCACCAGGTGCGCCTCAAGCTCTCCTCCCGCACCGGGTCGCCATAGCTGAGCTGCGGCGCAGCGTCTCTTTTGTTCAATCCCAACTCGAAGGCCAGATTGACAGCCGTCGTCACGCACTCGCCCGCCTTCTGCCGCTCATTGCGGGAATGCAGGACAATGGCGAGGAGCACCAGGGCCTGTAACTTTTCAATGGACCCTTCCTGGTCCATCACGGACGACATGACCGTCGGCCGGTAGTTCTCACTGTTGGCGGCCGGAGTGAAGTGGGTCCCAATGAATTTGATAACATGCTCCAGGAACGCAGGCACGTGGTTGCGGTAAAGGACACGATGGGGCGGCAAGACCGGGTGGGAAGGATGGAAATAGGTGTAGAAGATGTCGATAAGATAGCCATCGCCTGCAATGGTAGAGATCGAGTCTGGAGTCATGGGGCTATTGGTGACGCCGACCGTCTGCGAGTGCGAGGAGCCAGAGTTATCTGTCAGAGCGGGACTGCCGGAGGGTAAGGAAGAGGAGGGCAGGGAAGTCGGCACGGGGGTGGTGGTGGCGGCTGCCACCGCATACGACATGGGCATGTTACTCGACAGAGTCCAGTCGGACGGCACGTTGAAGTATTGGGGCTCGAAGGAGGTCGACATGTCGGCGGGGAGTTGGTCGGGGGAGGATGGATTGGCTCGACGCTTCTTCGAGGGGCCCTTGTACCCGCGACGCGACGGGGTGTATTGACATTCAGAGCCTGTGGCGGAACAGCGACCGCAGACAGGAGTCTTTCCATCACATTTCAGGTGCTTGTGTCGGCACAGCAGACAGGCAAGCAGCGACGGGCCCGAGTTTTTGGCAGAACCGGAGTCCTTGACGGAGATGAACGGGTTTTGTTGGAGACCTTGATCCATGTTGAAGGCGGGAACAATTGCTGAATGGTTACTGGGAATTAATAAGCTGGTGGTCTCATTTGCGCAATTCCAGCACCATGCAGAGAAGAAGAAAAAGAGGAAAAGAAGAAGACAGAGACAAATTGAAACCCAGCAGGAGAAGGAGAAAAGAAAGACGGCAAGCGGAAGTTCGGTACAAGCGGGGGTGACGGCGGAAAGGAAGGTTTTATGGAAGCACAAGAAAAAAGCGGGCGGGAAGTGAAGTGGGGGGGAGGAGGAGGGAGAAGGAGAAGGAGATTAATTTTTCTCTAAAAAGAAGATCCAGGGATGGAAAGAAAGACGATGGATACAATCGGAGAAGGCCGAATGGATTGATTCTAGGACGATGACTGGCAGGTAGGGGGGGAATATTGAATTAACTAGTTAACTAGCACTAGACGCAACGGCGACACGAATCATGCAGAACGACCAGTGCAGTAGAAGGTGTAGAAGGCCAAAAAGAGAGAGACATACCACTTTTCTTTCCCTTTTCTTTATTAATTATTATCCTAGTCTTGCCTTTTTGACAGGCCGAAGGATGATCGATCAGACCAGCCAGACGTTTCTTTAGCTCGAGTCTCCACAGACAGCCGCAGCGCGCCCAGCATCTCACCCATTCACGCTTCACGATTGGGAATGGCCGGTGAGGGTGGAGCTGCAGCGATCGGATGTGTGACACAGAGAGAAAGCTGCAACAAAGGAAAGGGAAAAGAGATTCGAACAGTTGTCAAGGGGGTGGGTAAGAGTAGAGGATGAAAAGATTTGGAATCGTCCGTCTTGAGAAGTTGGGTGGCAGAGTTAGTTAGTTAGTTAGTTGATCGATAGTTCAGAATAGATAGAGAGAGAGAGAGTAGAGAGAGAGTTGGAGTTGGTAGTGGATGGATGGATGGATGGATGATGGAGAAGTGATGATGCTGACTGAGCCGGTAACTTTACGCACGTAAACTATCAAGTACTGCATCTACACCAACGGGATACCAAGTAAATACCAACTATCTCATCTATCCATCTTAACTTAAGTACGTTAACAAGCAAGCAACAACCAATTCTCCTTCCTGTTCTTCCTTCCCCCTCCTTGACAAAAATCTTGTTTACACTTTCCCTCAAGACCATGTAAGCTTTTCGCCGTAAGAAAATCCCATCAACCATAGATCACTCTTCTATGGTTCGACCGACCGACCGACACCCCCCATCCCCAATCGGGTTTTCTCTATTCCCTCAGCTCCGTTCTCCATCTCCGATTCTAAGTAGTAGTAGCCTAACTATCAACGTGGCTTCCGCGCAATCACACTCCCCTTCCGTCATCGCACCAACAACACTCACTCACTCACTCCCCCTTCCTCTCTCTTTTCACTACTACTACTACTACACAACAAAGAAAAAGAACAAAAGTCCCTTACTTTATCCAATTACTTACCTCTCCATCACAATCAACCAGTCCAATTCCTCCCTGAAGCGCTAAACAACAACTACCTAATACCTAACTACCTACCCTCCACAATGATCACCGACGACGAACTCCACCGTCTGGCCGTCTTCCTCGGCTCCTGCGCCATGATGATGATCGTTCTTTACCACTTCCTCGAGGTCAATCAGAAAGAAGATGACGAGGAGGTCGACGTCAAAAACAACAGCAGCAACAGCAAGCAACAATCTACGGGCGCGTCGGCTGGTTCGACTACTACTGCGTGAATTTGATTTGATTCGGCTTGGACTTAGATTGGAATTGCAGGGGCAGTGTCGTTATTATAATTGTCGGTTTGATTTGATCGATTGATTGATTGATTGATGGGTTTGGCCTTGAAATGCGGTTTGGTTTTCGGACTTTGCGATACAAATACTACAATGTATGGTCTATTGTTCCTGAGCGTGCGCAAAGGAGACAGACAGACAGACAGACAAGGAAGGTGGGGGGGGGGGGAATGAATGGATGATGGCGAGAGTGTGGTGGAACAGAACAGAAAAAGTGGCGATGAATAGATACCCTGGTGGTCGTCGTCAATATAACTACTCTATTTTTCAATACTTCTTTCCAGTTGGTCGGTATTGGATCCATTATCTATATGGTACATGGTTGATGTTGCTATGATTTACAGAGGTGTAATATCCCAGGAGATTCTGCATGCTGATTGCGAACAACAACACCGTCGCTCAAGAACACTCGCTCAATCCCGCTGTCAAATGCCATGCCATGTAATGCGAAACCGATGAAACTACAACAAAAAATAAAAAAGGGAGGGTATCACAGATCACGGTTCTTCTAGGTCGCAGGCACCACCTCGTAGACATCTTCGTCATTGTTCAATCGCTCATTCCGCGCCGGGGTCGCAAGCTCACACCCGCCCGGGTCAAGTCCGACTCCAATGTGCTCCTTCAGTCGCTGGACTGCCTTAAGGATCTCCCGGGACCTCTCCTGTTGAGTATTATTCCCATGCACTCGGTTAAAGGCACGGATGGAACTGCCGCTGGCAGGGATTATAAGTGAGTCTTCACTGTTGGGCTGTGCGGTGTCTGGGAAGGCCAAGAGCCGCCCAGGACTGCCGCTAGCATCGTTTCCCACTACATCGCACAAGTCAAAGTTAAAAATCAATCATTGCTCCGAACAATCAAACTAGTCGCAAGCTGAAAGAATGCTATCATCCAGCAGATGCTTTCTCACCAGTTACAGGCACCGTGGGCCCATCCCCGAGCTTCCATGCGACCGGTTCCAAATGCTCCTTCTTCACATGTTTGAACAAAACTGCGGCAGGCAGAGCGTCTGGGAACGTGCACCCCTTCCATGCGCAATTGAGCGTCTGAGACACGTGCACCTTGAAGACATGTTTCTTCAGTCCATCCAGATTGTGCAGCTGCGCCTGGCAATTCGTCCAATTACATGCAAATACCGGGTACGGAACTGCCGACGACATGGGAGGCTGCTGGGGCTGCTGCCGCGCCTTGTTCGTGCTGCCCGGGGGCCGACCCGGTCTTCTTTTGCCCGTCATCGGTGTCACTCGCGTGGTTGTGGTAGGTACACTTGATTGTGACGGGGGCTGAGGGGTTGACGGTTGTTGCGGCCGCGGTTGTGGTAGCGGGGGCGCTGCCGAGGCAGATGGGCCGCTCTGTGGCTGAGGGGCAGCCTTGAAAGGAGCAAGGTGCTGACCCAACAACGGCTGACCCTGCAGGGGCTGCAAAGACGGATATTGTCGTGCCGGCTGTGACTGGGGAAGAGGTGGCGGTTGCCGGGCTTGTGGTGGAGGGGGAAGAGTGGTGTTGGTGGTGCTCGGAGGGACAGGCAGTGAAGGCGCGGGACGCGGCCGCGGCCGCGGCTGCGACTTTGGCGGTTCTGGGTCACGTGGCTCCAGCGCGTCGACTAGATCCCAGCGAAAGGTCGACAGGTCCGATGAAGTGTCCACATGAACGAAAACATCGCGCAAACGAAGAAGGTGATGGTTCAGTGTCTCCTCTGTTGGGTGGCGGCCGGCTGCAATGAGAACATCTCTGGCGATCGTCTTCGGGTCATAGATCACCTTATCCACGGCATCCTCCTCACGTAGCGGCTTAACAATGTCGGCACGCGATCTCAAATGGCTTTTGGGTGCAGGGGAGCCGGTGCCTCCTGTTTGTGGTGAATAATTGTAGATAGAGAGCCCTGCAGCCGGACGATCCTCAGCAGGCGCTGTTGCGTAGCTGGGCAATAAGGGTCGCCCGGATGACCGATTAGAGGTGGATGGGGGCGCTATCCGACGTCTCTTTGCATCAGGACCAGGCTCACTACCATTCCCAGCAGTATTTGTTTGCTGCATTGTAGCTTGCAAGGTTGTATCCGTCATCTGCGCAGGTGGATTGGGCGGAGGCGCTGAAGTCGACGGCTGGGTAGTCGGGACGGTCACTGGAGGAGCCGAGTTGGATGTCTCAGCTGAGGTTGTTGGGGTGACGTGCGAACTTGGTTGAGGGGCTGTCATAGGTGAATATGAAGGATGTGTAGTGAATTGCGTCGGTGGCATAGGTGAAGGATGTGAATTGGGAGCTTGCGCTGGTGTAGGTGGCAGTAATGGTGGGGCCGTATTCGATGTCTGCAGTAGCAGGGCCGAAATGACAGCATTCGAGGGCTGGACATGAGGCTGGCTTGTGAATACGGTACTAGACGACTGGGCAGGGGGTATACTCGAGGGTACAGAGCCTGACATCTGAGGCGGGGTCGGACTTGACGGTGCTTGAGGGGTTGAATGTGGCGCTGAATCTGAAGCCGGCTGGTACCCTGGAGGGGGCGCTGGATAGGACTGAGGCGCCGGTTGAGACATTCGAGGAGGGGGCGGCTTATACCCTGCTGGAGGGCCAGTCCTGTGTGTCTGCACCGGCTTCGGCAACTGATGCGCACGTTTATATTCCTGCGAAGGAGGGGGCCTCGGTGATTTGGAGGGCAGCGACTTCGGACCAAAAGGAGCAGCGAAACGGGACGAGCTTTCAGTATGCGAGCCTGGGGGTGGTGCCATAGTAGAAGCTTGGGTATACTGCGTTTGGCGAGACCGAGGATTGGGAGGGTGATGTTGGTTTTCTGGAAATGAGCCAGGCCTCACATCCCTCTCGTTTGAATACTGATATCCATGAGACCCGGCAGAGCCATTGCGGGCAGCTGTGTAAGACGAGGAAGGGGGCACAGCAAAGTATGGATTCGACTGATAAAATGCCGCATGATCATCGACGCCTTGGGCTTCTGGGTCGTATCCATGGCGCAGGTAACTTTCCAGCCACTGCAAGTCTTCGCTTGACATCTTGCGCAGCTGGTGAGGCAGATGGATATCAAGTATGGTGCCAATTCTTCGCTGTCAGCATCATTTCCGACGTGCAAAACAGGAAAGATGTGAAGCTGTTCTAGAGAATGTATCCCGAGCTGGCCTCACTGTGACCGCAATAAACAGCATAAATCCTCTCAGAGAAATTAAGCCAAATGGTCGGCGTGACGCGACCGCATCGGAAGAGAGATTAGCGGCGCGCATGAAAGAGGCTCGACAATGTAAATTCCCCACCGCCTCACGCGGGCGGTGAGTCGCAACAGGAGCTGTCTCCCACTGGCCAATCGGAAGCATGATCGGCGTTAAGCGGAGCGTCACGTGACGCACACTTTTCAAGCTCGACTATTTATACTGCAACTTCCAACCTCTTCTGCAGTCAGCCAGACAAGATGTTTTTACTATACTACGACTCACAGACCCAGTCATCTGAGTTGATCGCCAACACAGTCATCTGAGTTGATCGCCAACACAGTCATCTCTGTGTTCTTCACAATACTGAGCCAGGAAATCTGAGCACCGCCAATGCTTCACCTCGCAATTCATGTTTCGTTGCAGAGAGGACAGCATTGGGTACTCATATAATGAGCTTTGAACACCGTACAGGGAGAACTTTGACGACTCCCAACCAACCTAGTTTCTATCTCAACGCGCCAGATTATCTCCTCATCAATCCACTACCATGGTTGAAGAGGTATACGGCTGGCGCAGAAGGAATTGCAGAAATGCATTTACATTTAGACAAAAGTCTAGATCGCGTTCTGCCTCGCTTGCAGACCCGCACTGAGCTTCTCGCAAGGACGCTGCGGGTTTGAGAGTGAGATACATGCTGTTGTAGATATATAGTTTTTACATATGATAATATGATAATCTTCGATTGAGATTTGTCTTATGTTGAGTGGAATGAGGTCTTCTGCAGTAGTCTTTGTCTGGTATTGTCGTGAGCTCAATAGATGGCTTAAGTGTAGGTCGCGTAGTGGATGCCGGTTTTGCGGCAGTGATCTTCAGGATTTAGGAGTGCCAGTTGAGTACTTACTAGCTACTGCTTAGTACTGATTGCTTGACGGAGAGACTTGTTTACTCTGGCGTCGTATGAAATTCCTTGAACGTGTATAGTCTTCGAAATGTCTCCAGATAGTATAAGAAGTCTTGTTAAGACTACAGGCACTCTACACCAACGTCCATACCACTTCTCAATCAGAAGACACGCTAGACGTTATTACTATATTGGTATACAACCCAAGAAGTAAATATAAATACCTAAGAATATGAATACCAGCCGCAGTCATCATATCATACAAACAAACAGAAAGAAAGAAAGTTCATATGTCCCGCTCAATTGGCCGAAAACCAGACAATCATAAACCGAACCTCCACCTCGGAAACCACCACGAAGACAAATAAAATACACACACCATCACATCGCAGCAACCCATATATCCACCAACTACCTACTTACTGACTATGCCCAACACACCTCCCCCAAGCAGGCAACCCGCACCCCATCCCCACAAACAACCACACCAAGAACACGACCACAACAGCCAACAAAACCATCAACTTGACATTCTTCCACCACATCCGTCTCCTCAATCCACGACTCCTAATGCGAAAATCGTGAGCACTACCACCCAACCGATCCGTCTTATCCACCAACAAATCAATCCGTTCGCCCCTCTCCAACACCCGTTCAATATTCTCCGTCATGATGTTCCTCACGCTATCGATCTCCCGCTTTGCCGAAGCCAGCGAATCCGCCGGCGGGGCCGTATTGTACGTCTGCAGCAGCGAGCGCAGCTCATTGTTGAACGCGGCGCAGCCGTATGCCGGGAGAGCAGAGAAGTCCGTGCTGGAGGGCGAGTAGGTGGTGAGGAACTTGCGCTTGATTTCGAGGAGGAAGGCGAAGGGAATGCGGCGGCCTTGTTCGGCGGTTGCGACGACGATGTAGCTGAGGGGCGCGTAGGAGTTGGGTTCGCCCTGGCGGGGGTCATCGGGGGTGCTGGGCGTTGTGGGTGAGTCGGCGATGTAGTGCACGAAGAGACGCTCGTGGGTGTAGGTGAGCTTTTGCGGTTGGTCGTGGCTGATCTTGGGGAGGATGATGGAAGCGAGGGACGAGGCGGCGCTCGAGGATGTGCCTGGGGAAGAGTGTTCGGCGAGGATGGTTGTGCGGTGGGCGATGCAGGAGCTGTGAATTTGAGTGAGTGGTCAGTTGGGAGTGATACTATTGAGAGAGGGTAGGTTGGGGAGTGAAGTAGATGTCGCGGTGTGTTGCTGTTCAGCTGGTGGGTGGGTAACGTACTAGAGCAGGAAGCTCGATGGCTTCGATGAGGAGGCGGCCATGGTGGTTAGACGTCGCGATTATGTACTCGGGTTGCTATACAAGACGGAGAAAAGCGTAAGGTCGATCTGGGCGAGTCCGGGCCCCTGCCTTGGACTGTGGAGGAGGGATTAATGCGAGGGATTATTTGGCGATAAGATCACCGCTCCGTGACGTCGCCGCCCAGACGGTTAACTCCCCGGATTCTGTCACGTGATAGATACTTGTACAACTGTGGATGTCGAATCATAACTACTCATTCATTGATTGGTACTTTAATACTAGTTTTATGTATTCATGGCGATAAATACACATACAAGTCAAATTTCATCCATATCAACGAATCACTTTGAGTCAGCTTTCATCTCAAGAGACATGTGTTCCAACAATTCAGAAGTCTCCTCAATCGGCTCACTCTGACTCGGTGTGCCCACAATCACCGTGTCATTGTCCTCGCTATCAGTATCGAAGTAGTCCTCGAAGTCGTCCGCTGATGTGTCCATGTCTATGAATGTATCTTCTGTGTCCTCGGGCTTCTCATCCGGGGTTGGTCCGTGGCTTTCATCTTCTATTGCGTGCCCCTCTGAGGAGACTAAGCTGACGACGTCCGCCCACTGGCTTCCCGTGGCCTTGTGGGACGCACACTGGACCGTACTTTGACCCTCGCTCGGGGCGATATTGGAGTAGGAAGTGGTCGAGGGGGCAGTACTTCCTGTGTGGATTGCAGGTCCTGGCATGGAGAATCCGCCCGTCTCGAGATTAGGTATGCCTTGATCTGTAAAAACGCCGCCGGATCCATCATCATCACCACCCGCCCACAGCGGAAGGTATCTAAACTCATTGTTGGTGAGACAGGTGATGGTGTCGGTGAGTTTAAAATGCGCTCCTTGTCTGCAACCCTTTGCCATGCGCTCGGTGAGATCGCCCAAACTTGTGCGCACCTGCTGGAGGAAGACGATTGGATCGAAGACGGATGCCATGGAGCTTTCGGTAGCAGTTTCTTCAGGTGTCTCATCGGTCTCAATGTCAGAATCTAGATCTGGAAGACTCCCACCTCGTTTCTCTATGAAAATGTCCCCACCACCCCACTCACGCTGGACAAACTTTGGGCTATCAAAGTCAACGTGGTTATTGAACTGGTTGACTGCCCGCAGAATGTCTTCCAAGGAAACATATGAGAGTTTTGCCTCATTTTCAGACTGGAAAAGGTGAAGATGTCCGCCCAGGTCGGCGATTGTCATATCTCGGAATTTTTCATCTGGCTTTCGGAGACAGTCGCTATACCCCTCACCCCTGACCGTTCTCCAGAACGTCTTGCTGATGATGCGTTCTACGTAACGCATATTATTGTAAGAATTGGTGTAATCATGCTCTGGGTAGTTGCAGGGATCAATGTAATGGTTTAATCTCGAGGACCGAGTGTTAACGGATCTGGTCATATTGGCCACGATGTGGCCCCGCACATATAGTTTGAGCGAGGATAGTAAATCCGATGCCAATGAACAATGTTCGGCACAGTCATCGATGTGGCGAGAGATCATCATTGTGGACGGCAGCTGCAGGAGCCAGTCCATTTGTGAGCCCGTCAATTGTATATATTCTTCGAGAATACGGTCCACAAGGCTCTGGCTCGCATACTCGATCCGTTGGCGATCTTCATCATCCAAAGGTTCGCGTTGTCGGCCGTGGAATGTCACCTCTGGCCATTGGAGTCTGGGAGGTTTGCCCGCATTGGCCAGGCGTAACAAAGCTTCTTCTCCCACCAGAACAGTGAAAGAATCCTGGCAAAGGTAGTCGCATTCAATTCCGCGGGCAATTCGGTAGGTGATTTCCGGATGAAGTTCAATAAAGCAGGCATTTGTACCGTCATATAGCCAGGTCAAAATATGGATTTTGATGTGCCCTATGGTGGCAATACCAAACACCTTGGCCAGAGCAAAGAAGGTCCAAAGCTTGCAAGGCGTATCAAGACACGGGTTAACTCCTCCTAGAGCTTGCAGGATATGTACGATACCTGTGCGGTGACGAGAATCCGAATACTCGGAAGGAAGAGCCGATTTCTTACTACCACCCTCAGTTTCAATTCCTTCGTCTTCGCCACCAACACAGTCCACAGGTAAATCCAAACGGCTTAATTCACGGGTCCAAGTCCGTATACCTAGTGGACAAGATAGTTCAGTGGTGAACGCCACTGCCTCGTCGTCCGTTGAGGGGGGAGTGAGGTTAATAACGTATTTAATTCCATCTGGTAGATTTCCCAGAAACTCAGAACGCTTGATCATGCGAGCTTGTCTTCTCGGATCAAAAAGTTTCGTCAAATAGGGAGACTTTGTGTCCAAGAGGGTGTGGCTGTGGACATAATGGGGAATGGACGCTTCAGACTGTGGTTGCAATGACCGGTTTGGCACGTATGATGGAGGGTCGATGAAGACGATTGTATCGGCACCTTCAAATCGAAGAACATCAAGTTTGGAAATGTTCTCATCTTCCTCAATGTTCGAGTTGTAACTCGCGTCTTCATCAGTTTCCTGTTCCTGAAAATATGCCATCTCGCGATCGGTCTGAATCTAGAGTAGCTTCAGTACTACCCATTTCACACTTTAGCTCGTTGAGATCACACACCTTCTAATGAAGACGGACAAAATGACGGAGAAGGGTAATGGTA